CTTGGAGAGCCTCCCAGACACCTCAGTGTGATTTCCCACTCCTCCTCGGGGCATAGCTTCACCATATCAGCATGGACTCTGGGGTCAGATGACCAACTGCTCTGAACCCCCGTTTCCTCGTCTGCAAAGTGGGGATAACCAAAGTAGCTAAAGTTGTTATTAACCTGCTTACCGTTAATCTGCTAAGGTTGTTATTAGGCTGAGGATTATTATATCCTCTCGAATTGGCCCCCTTGTCATTATGAAATGGACTTATTTATCCCTGGCAATATTCTTGGCTCTGAAATCTGCTTTGTCTGATAGTAATAGTCACTCCAGCTTTCTTTTGATTAGCGTGAGCATGGCATATCTTTTTCCATCCTTTTACTTTTAACCTCTTTGAGTCTTTATATTCGAAGTGTGTTTCTTGTATGCATATAGTTGGGTCTTGCTTTTTTATCCAATCTGGCAATCTCTGATTTTAATTGGGGTATTTGCATTTAAAGCATTTATGAACATGGTTTGGTTTATATCTACCATATGGCTATTTGTTTTTTATTTGAACAATCTCTTCATTCTCTGCTACTTCTTCTTCTCCTGCTTTCTTTCGGATTAACTTAGTATTGCTGAATTCCATGTTACCTCCTACGCTGGCTTATAACTCCTTGTATTATTTTAGTGGTAGCTTTAGGGTTTATAGTATAAATCTTCAACTTCCCACAGTCTACTTTCAGGTGATATTATACCACGTCAGGTGTAGCATAAGAACCTTACAAAAGTACACTTCCTTTTCTCCCCTTCTGGTCTTTATGTGATTATTGTCATACATTTTACTTTTATACATGTTATAAAACTCACTCTACATTGCTATTATTTTTGTTGAGAGTCAATTACCTATTTTTTTAAAGATTTATTTATTTATTTGAGAAAGAGAGTGTGTGTGTGCATGAGCAGGAGTGGGGGGAGGGCCAGAGGGAGAGGGAGAGACTCTCGAGTAGACACCCCTCTAAGCACAGAGCTCAACTTGGGGCTCCATTTCACAACACTGAGATCATGACCTGAGCAGAAATCGAGAGTCGGACACTAACTGACCGAGTGACCCAGGCACACCTCAATTAACTTTTAAAGAAATTTAAATACTAAGAAAAATCTTATATATTAAGAAAGTTATGGAGCACCTGGGTGGCTCAGTTGGTTAAGCAACTGACTCTTGATTTGGGCTCAGGTCATGATCTCAGGATCATGAGACTGAGCCCCAAGTCAGGCTCCCCACTCAGTGTGGGGTCTGCTTGAAATTCTCTCTCTCCCTCTGTCCCTCCCCCCTTCTGTGCTCTCCCTCTCTCCCTCTAAAATAAATAAATAAAATCTTTAAAAAACACTATTTTTGGTGCTTTTCATTGTTTTGTGCAGATCCATATTTCTATCTGATATCATTTTACCTCTGTGTGAAGAGTTTCCTTTAATATTTCTTACAGTGAAAGTCTGCTGGTGATGAAACCTTTCAACTTTGGCAAGTCCAAACATGTCTTTGTTATAACCTTTTTTTCTGAAACATAATTTTTCAGAGTATAGAATTTTCTCTTGATTTTTTTCCTTTAATACTTTTTAAAATGTTGCTCCACTTCTTGTTTTAATTTTTTTTTCCCAAAGAGAAATGTGCTGTCATCCTTAACTTTGTTCTTTTATACATAACATTTCTTTTATTCTCAGGCTGAGTCTTAAAGTATTCCAGACTGGCTTGTGGGGAAAGGCACTATTCCCAATCCCATGTGAGGACCACATACTGTTCCCTCCAATCCTTCCAGGTGATTCTTTCCCTCACACACATGCAATAGTCAGTGCTCAGCTGAATGTTTGAAGGGGGCCACTGCAGATGCCTGAGTTCTCTCTCTGACCAACCAGTTCTCTTCTGTCTCCTATTCTATCCTGTGAATTCCAGGTGCGTTGGTCTCCCTCGACTCTCAGCGTCATGTCTTCAAATCAGGGAGTTCACTGGGCTCTGCCTCAGTTGCCCCTCCTAAGGCATGGTGTGGAAACTCTCGAGGTAGTAAATTGGGACAAATGTAAGGCTCATTTAATTAATTTAATTTAATTTAATTAATTTCCTCACTCTCACTGCCTGATGTCCAGTGTCTTGCTATTTTAGTCAGGAGGGTAACTTCATGTAACTTCAACCTGGTCAGAGTGGGAGTCCCCGAATGTTCATTTCACTGAACATCTTAGGGCCACCCAGTTCCATGCACAATGTATGTGTCCGCCCTCGCATTATCCAGCCCTCAGGACAGGGAGCATGTACCTTGCACACTGCTCCACACACAGACAGAACTTAGAAATACTGAACAATGACTCTTCATCAGCAGTCACTAAGGCAATGATGCGCTTGCACAAACATGAATTATGTTAAGTTCCAACCAGTATTTTTCACTTGATGATCTAATTTTGGAAAAAAAAGTTTGTATGAGATCTCATTTATCCGAGGCTTTATGCACAAAAAGTGACAGACGACGCTTCTTTTAGCACTATGTTCTTTTAGCAACTAAATGTCACTCTTGCGACATTCAACCCATCACCCAAAGAAAGCAACAATCGAGGAAGCTTCTGTAGCAAGAGCCAACCTAGGACTTTCTCATGGTTTCCTGACGCACAGTGATAATATTATTAAAATAGACAACCAACTGCTATGGAAACATTCAATGTGGAGAGAAAGAACCTCAGAATCCAAAGGTTTGCCCAGAACAGTTTAAGAGCAACAACACTGGGATGCTGAACTCTTACCTAGACCAAACGCTGGAGGCTGCTGTGTCTTGAATCTTCCTCTCCGGCCCGAGATAAGCTCAGCAGACAGGAAGAACTGATCACTTTTGTTAAGTGTCAATGCCTGCAAGACATTTAGCAGCCTTTTTCCCTTTCCCATTTTCAAATACACAGTCTAAATCCCAAAGAGCCAAATTAGTAACATTCCAGTGAAACTAAATTATCAGAGATAATGAATGCACAGGGCAACAATTCAATCAACCAATCTGTCTATCCACCATCCTATTTGCCATCAGTCCATCTGTCCACCATCCCGTCTGCCCATTAGGTCATCTGGGAGGGTATGAAAGCCCAGGGGCAGGAGACCACTGGGCATGTCAGCCCATGAAATGAATCAAAGGGCATGAGCCAAGGGAGGAAGACGAGAGGACCATAGGTGGTTTTGAGCACACCCTCGGGTTGAGTCATCCGTCAGAAGCCACAATATCTGCATCGGCTCAGCAGCCCCAGCAGAACCCCAACCCTCCCCTATGTGGGCTACCTCTGCCTGAGGGGTCACTTCCGGTCTTACCTCCCACCTGCTAACCTAAACTTTCTTGTTTGACCCCAGAATCCCTGAGTTCTGTTCCTAACTACTGCCAGCAAACTCCTGTTCCAAGAGATAACCGCCTTCCTGGAGCTACAGGTGGAAACCAGCCACGTGGGGCAGGAGCCTCCCACCTTGCCAGTGCACTAAGGAAAGTCATGATGAGCCACGGCACCTGGCTGCCTCAGAGGAGCTCAGCTCCTGGCCCAGCTGTACCCCAGTGCTAGCTGTTACTTTGTTCTGCATTCTCTTTCCTTCCATGTGGACGCCCACACAGCATCCACAGGAGCAAAGCAGGCATGTCCACCACTATCACCCCCACCATCGTCACGGACACAGAGTGCACACCTAACTAGGCCTCCCTGCATCATGGGTACATCTTTACTTAGCCACCTACTTTCAGGTGATATTATACCTGAGAAATGATCACAGGTGAGAAATGATCACACTGGCTTTCACAGGAGGCCCTCGTGCATATTGTTCACATTGGAGAACCTCTAGGGCTGTGCCTATTGTGAAGGCCCAGCCCTTCCTCATTCCTTGCCCTTCATTCCTCACTCCTCACCCCTCCATAAGCCCTAGCTCTGATACAGAGAGGGAGGGCAGCAGACTTTCTGGAAACTTACCCTTCCCCTTTTATTTTCTACCACTGCCCTTAACTTGCCCTTGACCCCTTCGCACTGAGGCTAAAACTTGTCATCCTCCCCTGCAGGTTCAGGGCTGCTGTTTATAGGACAATATTCAGCCAAGTTCAGGATCAAACTCAGGCCAAAACCCCAATAGGGGCTCCTTCTTTCCTCCTTCCTCCAGGAAACGTCTTTTGGAGGCTCCAGCAGTGCCTGCATCCAGCCCACATGCCAATGAAGCAGTGTAGTCCCTGGGGGTCACCAATGCAGGGCTGTCATCTGGAGACGAACCCCAGTTTCCACCACAGCTGATCCCCATAGCCCTGCCATGCTACTGCATCACAGATCCACAACCCCACACCCCACCCGCTATGCTGTCACAGACCCCACGTGGGTTCCCCTTCTAACCAGCTCCAAGCCCCCGTAAGGATGCAGAGACTCTCCAAATCCTGTTTTCCGTATCTTGCAGGGGCCTCTGCTCTCAGGTTGTGGGGGAATTGGGCACAGATTCCAGCTCTTCTCAGAGTCCCCCTCAACTCTCCAGTGACTCAGAGTCAGATTTCTCACACCTTGTGCCCCTCACTGCACAATCCATTCTGAGGCCCAGTGCTGGGGACACACCAAGCAGTCTCCAAATGCTTGGCACATCCCTGTCTGCCTTCTTCCTGGGGCTGGACACCCCTGGGGTCATTTCCTGCATTCTTCCCAAGGGATTCAAACATTGGAGAAGTGCTTTCATCATCTGACCCTCATACTGTCCTTCCCCATACTGTCAACAACAGCCACCACCAAGTTTAATGACATTTACTGCAGGTCTTCACGGGCCAGGCCATGGGGGCTAGCATTTTACAAACATAGTGGTCTCCATCAGTCCTCGCAGCATGGTAGGAGGCAGACGCACGGATCGCAAGGCTAGGTGATGCACCCAGGGTTATGAAGACAACGGGTTTCTGCCTGAAGCTGATGCCCTGCTCGCGGGCACACAGTGCTGGCCTTGCACTAGCTACAGCAGGGGGACCTGGGGGGCTGGCGCCTCTGGGGCCCACAGGGCTCACCATGCCTCCCGTGCACTTGCGGCAGTCCTGCAGGCAGCTGACGTTCTCCCAGGTACTGTAGGCCTTCAGCCCCGCCACCAGCGCCTGCAGCGGGCAACTGTCCACAAGCTCCTTCCCACGGAAGATGTCCTCATCCAGAAGGACCCCGGCATACCTGCGAGAGGAGTGCAGACGTGTGAGGGATGCAGCAGTGCCCCCACCCCCACCCCCAGGAACCACGGCGCAGGCGCGTCTGAGACAAGCCCAGGGTGACACCTGCTCCTTCCTCAGATGCTACCAAAGTCTCCATGTGCCCTTCAGAACTGTCACCCTGCACCCTGTCGTTGTGAGGCTCCACCACGCCATGTGCCCCTTGGAAAACTTCTCCCTTGCTTTCTGTCCAGGCTTACTTTTCTGCCAGCCCCTCAGAGGCCCCATTGCTCATGTTGGCATCTGTCTTCAAACAGCCCTTGACCCGACAAAAAATGGGCACTCAGTGTAACTCCCTCCCTGCTGTCGTCTACCATATAAGATCATATTCCAAACTATTTCCCTCTTCCCTTTGCACAAAAATGTTTTACATGTCTCTTATATATCTTTTTAATTTTTTGGATTCTACTTCCGTTGAAAGTGTGCTAGGCAGAATAATGGCCCCCAAAGATGACCAGGTCCTCATCCCTGAAACCTGAGAATATGTTACCCCACATGACAGAAGGGATTCTTTTCAGATGTGATTAAATCTAGGATCTTGCAATTGGGAGATTATCCTGGATCACCCGGGAGCCCAAATGTAATCACAAGGGTCCCTATAAGTGAGAGGGAGTCAGGAGAAGGAGATGGGACAACAAAGTAGTCAGGGAGATGCAGCATGAGACTCAACCAGCCATTGCTGGCTTTGAAATGGATGAAGGAGCCACAAGCCAAGTAATGAGGGAGCCTCCAGAAGCTAGAAAATGCAAGGAGTCAATTCTCCCCTAGAGCCTCCAAAAGGAATGCAGCCCTGCTGACACTGATTTTTCATCATTGAGACCTATTTTGGACTTCTGATCTCCAGAACTGTAAGATAACAAATTTGTGTTATTTTAAGCCACCAAGTTTGTGGCAATTACTTATAGCACCAATAGAAATGTATACAGATAGGAATTAACTTCTTCCTTCAAAGTGGTAAGATTCACCATTTTCCTTCATCTCTCAGCCACCTATGACCACGACTACTATGCAGCACAATGTCTATGGGCCTCCCTCCATCTGCATGCATACCCCCTCAGTTCTGGTTTTCTTCTTTGCCATGTTTCAAAATACTATAATGGAAGGTACAGGTTTCCCTCTCTCTCCCTTCTGAACAATTTCTTATAGAGCTTGTTTTTAAAGTCCCTTAAAATGAGTTATCATTTATAAGAACTGCTGGGGATAAAAGCTTTAGTGAACTCTTTCTCACTATGCTCTACCAAATTCCAGGACTGGCCTCTGATCAAGGGTGGTAAACACACTGAGCTGGGTACTTTCCTCTAAGCACCTCAAACTCATGGAAAGTACCATGAAGTATGGCCTTTCTGGTCTTCTCAACTGAAGCTTCAGACTCTGGAGATTGATAAGAGTAGTGGCAGTTAGAGGTGTTGATTCATTGACTGTTCTCTATCAACTAAGTGCCATCTATTGAGATGATTATATGAAGTTTCTCCTTTATAATGTTAATATGACAAATCATATAGATTGATTTTCAAATGTTACATAAGCCTAACATTCCTGGGATAAACACCACTTGGTCACTGTATAGAGTAAAATACACTGTATGTGATCTACTAACATTTTGTTCACAAGGGATAGTGGTCTCATAATGTCTTTCCCTGGTTTTTGGTGTCAAGGTAATGCTCCTAAAATGAATTAGAAAGTTTTCCCTTCTTCATTTATGAGAGAGTTTGTGTAAAGTTAGTATGTTTTCTTTTCTTAAGTATTTGGTATATTTCACCAGCAATGTCAGATGAAATTATTTAGATTTTCCAGTTCTTTTTCAGTCACTTTTGGTAACATGTCTTTCATGAAATTTTCTATTTCCTATATATTGTAAAATATATTGGCATTACGTTGACATTACATCAATAATAATAACCATAGTATTTAATTTTATCCTTTCAATCCATTTGAAAGGATACTGTAGGATCCTACTGTAGGATCTGTAGTGATGTCCTCTCATTTATTCCAGATGCTGATCATTTGTGTGTCTTTTTTCTTAATTAATCTAGCTGAAGGTTTATCAATTTTATCTATTTTTTGAAAGAAAAAACAATTTTTGGTTTAATTATGTTTATTTTTTGGCTATTTCTTATTTCAATGATTTCTGCTTTCATTTTTATTATTCTTTCTTCTTGATTTGAATTTGATTTGTTCTTTGTTCCACCTGAGACTAATGTAACACCGTATGTTAATTATACTTAAATAAAATAAGAAAAGAAAATAATGTGCATTCTGCTGTTGTTGGATAGAATATTCTATAAATTTCTTTTAAGTCAAGTTCATTAGTAATGTTCATATCTTTTATATCATTATTGTTTATTATATCAATTACTACTTATTAAAATGGAAATTTACACCATTGATTTTCTACTTTTCTCCTTTTCTAAT